AGATCTTCCGAAAATAGATGGGAGATACTACTGAAATTTCAGGTTTGGCTGCAAATTGATTATGAAATATTGCACTCATTTGCTCAAGGTTACTTGACAAATTGGTCGCATCCGACTTCTTACCTCCCCCTAACCATTTGACGGTTCTTTTATAACGACAGGGGATTAAAATACCGTTCGTCAAATTTCTTTAAAATTTCTAGTAATTTATTAATGGAGAGTTTTAAAAAAGTTCACTAGCCTAGACGTCATTTACGTTATTTTAAAGCGCTTTATCATTTTTTTTTCTTTTTACTTTAATCTTAATTTTCTTTTTAACATTGTAAAAAAGTAAATTTAACATTGAAAAATTAACAATTAATCGAAAGGTGGCATTTCTTAAATTAGATTGTTTTTTTTTAATCAAAGTCAACGCCTTCAATATGACATATTGATCTCAACAAAAATCCAAGATTGTGGTGATTTGAAATCAAAAGTGTTTGAGATAATAGTGTCATTTGAGGCGAATTCCAACTGAATTCTAATTTGCGTTAAGACATTTACAAAAAGCGTAAAATAGTAGTTTGTTTAACAAAATATATTTTTTCTGATGTAATATTTAGCTATCAGAAAAGTTTCATTCGATTATGAAAACAGTATGAATAGAATAAAACTTAACTTATATGCAATCATATATATATATATATATATATATATATATATATATATATATATATATATATATATATATAGATTTATTTATATATATACATATGTATGTAATTGTATATACAATTGTATATATATGTACACATTTATAAAAATCCATATATTTATATATACATATATGAATACAAAGGAAGTGTCCTGTTGTCGTAAGTCCTTTCACGATGAAAGAAATATTACATAACCACTCCCCTTTTTGTTTTGGAATAATTAGACATAAAGCACTTCCCGTTTCCCTTTCATGTGACACGCACATGTGGGGGGAAAATGACAAAGCTGTAGGGATCTTATTATAGCGAAAATTTAAATATAGCCTGAAGCTGATGCCATTAAATCAACATGTAGCGTCTATGCACATCACTGTAAAATATATGTCTATATTCAACCAATTAGGTTGATAAGAGTGGGTTAGGTATGTAAGGATTAGAAAGACGTAAAAGCTAAGATAAAGTTGATACAGAAGTTAAGGAGTTTATATATATGTATATATATATATATATATATATATATATATATATATATATATATATATATATATATATATATATATATATATATATATATTATATAACTTAATGGTAATTGTCAGCAAATTAATTACATCGTTATCTTATGTTCCTAGAAATGCTTTTGGTAATAATGTATGGTAAAATAATTGTTTTCGACCGAATAATGACTTTTCTCAGTCAATTACAATAAATAAGATTTAAACTTCCGTAATATAACAATGTAGAACCATGTCCAAAGAAGTCGTTAAAATATTCAGATATTAATTGGCGGCGTGCCTTATAAAAATATAATAAATATTGAATATAGTTATGTACATTATGTTGAATTCATGTTTGAAAATCATATTGGTTTCATTTCGAAAGAACATTTATACGATTATGACATGACAAAAAATTTGCATTGCGTTTTAGTTAGATAAACCATTCAAGTTTGAAAGAAATCAGTGAAAGTGTGGGCAGATATCCATGCATAGGAACATGGCATTTAAGGGAGTAGTTTAACCCAGGCAAAATGGTAATCCACAGAAAATGTCGCCCAAAATCTATCAGATATACAAGTTACCACTTTAGTATGCTAATTCGTAGAATTAGACACATTTTCGTTTTTTCAACTTAAAACTTAAAATTTATTAATGGTCCATTTAAAAGTCCCGTTAGTAAGTCATATTAATGTTTTTAATGTTGTATTATACATAGACGTAAATTTAGGTGCTGTAATGTTTTAGTTGTTTGTTTTATCTTAATCGGCACAGTAAAATACATTTTGTGTTCGTAGAATAGTCTATTTTTGGCGATTTCGTTGTAAACGTTTTGCTAAATGATACTATCACTTAAAATCAGTGGCGTAGCGAGGTCGGGTGTCACCAGGTGCGGCACATAATGGTGTAACCCCCCAGAGGTGTAGCGACCCTTCCCGGCGCCCGGGGACAAACTTTCAACTTTCAATTTGCACCCCCTCTCAAACTTTCGATTTGCAGCCCCCCTTCCACCCTTGTAGGGATTTATCAAATTTGCTCTTAAAAGACTTTTTAATACTCGAATTAATCACTTAATTAAGTGGTATTATCATTTTTCTCTATATATGTTGCTATGTTTTGCCTTGGTGTCCCCCCCCCCCTAAATAGAGTCACCAGGTGCAGTCCGCACCCCTGCGCCCCCTCCCCCCCCTCGCTACGCCTCTGTTTAAAATTACGCAAAACAATAATGAAACTCTTAGAATTATTTTACACGTTTATTTTTAACAAAATTAAAAAAAAAATTATTGGACTATTCCTTGAATTTAATTAAAAAACAAAACAAACTATCAGCAGCACTGACTCTATAGCACACCGTGCGCTAATCTATGACGCTACAAAAGTTTTGTCACGTGCCTAAGCTATCGGCTTCTGATCTTAAGCGTTTTTTATTGTATGTTTTTTTCTCATCTTAGTATGCCGAGAGTAAGGGATGACGTGGTTGGGTGTATAGCGCTCGACTGCTAGCCCGAAAGTCTCGAGTTCGGATCTCAGTCCGGACTCGAGACGGCAGGACTTCTCTGAGTCAACCCAGACGGGTACCAGACCCACGTTATAGAAAGTTTAAAACGGCTGACATATAAACATTACTTCATCAACTCTAAGGATAGGTCTGAACGTTGTAGTTTAACTTGTTATATATGCCTTGTAAGATCTCAAAAAAAAAAACACAAAAAACCCCCCAATACATTAAGATATATACATGTTTGTTGTGAGTAGAATGAAAATTAGTTAAAGGTGATGAGCGAGTAACCCTATTATTTTGACGTGCTAATATTGGTGTTGTACTTGATATATAACAGGCTTGATACAAATTGCAATTAGTCTAACGCTTTCATAATATCCCGTGTCTACTCATTTGCTATAGAGATAGGCTCTGTTAGAACTCTAAAAAAAATTAAGCCCACTTATCTCCTAAAATTTAAAACAAACGAAATTTGTAAATTCTGCGAAATTTCATTTTAGCGGAAGCAGTACCCTTTAAAACTGAATCCATAAGTTCTCTTACGCTCTATCTATATATATAATTCTCTTCTGGGAGCCGTTAGAAAACAAGCTGCAAGCGCGCCTTTGCAGTCCCCTCTCTTCCTCTCTATCACTATCACTACCACCCCCACCCCAACCCCACATGATCTGGTGAGTTGTGGTCACGCTAAATGTTTACAAATCGTAGAACCGTGTTTGTTGACGGCTATTATGGGCAGAAGATTTAGTTTGAAACGATTTTAAACTTACAGGAGGTAACTAAGAGGAGGCTGCTATTCACGGAGGATGGGGGGGGGGGGGGGTAGGGTAGGGGTTGGGGGGGGGGGGGGGTTAGTGTTTTAAAGCAAATATTTTCAGTGGCAGTATTGGTACTGTCGAATAATTCACAAATTATGAATTACTGAAAAGTAGAAAAGTAGAAAATAAAACAACTAAATAGCGGCGTATGATACGCCGCGGGTCGGCTCGTATATATATAATTTTCTTCTGGGAGACGCTAGAAAACAAGCTGTAAACGCTCTCCCTACCATCCCCACCCCTACATGGTCTTAGTGAGCTGTGGTTCACGCTATGTTTACCTTCGTGGAGTCGGGTTTAGTGACGGCTATTAGGGGCAGATAATTTAGTTTGAAACGATTTTAAACGTTGGGGGGGGGGGGGGGGGGGGGGGAGGAATTACTGAAAAGTAGAAAAAACAACAACTAAATAGCGGCGTATGTTATGCCGCGGGCCGTCTCGTTGTTTATACCTTTTCAAGTCATGTATTGTTCAGTGCATAAAGTTCTTATTTAAACGTGTAATTTGAAGAGCATTTCACACAGAATTAATTAGAATGTAAAACGTAGACTTTTAAAATGTCTGTTATGGTAAATAGGTGTTGTTTTTTTGTGTAAGTATGTCATGTAAGACGCGGCACAGCCTTTCACATAATACAACACAGTCAGGCTAGACACAATATGGTAACACCTTCACGTAATGCAACATAGTCGGGCTAGACACAATTTATGGTAACACCTTCACGTAATGCAAAATAGTCGGGCTATATATTATATGGTAACACCTTCACATAATTCAACATAGTCTGGCTATATATAATATGGTAACACCTTTACATAATGCAACATAGTCGGGCTATATATAATATGGTAACACCTTCACATAATGCAATATAGTCGGGCTGTATATAATATGGTAACACCTTTACATAATGCAACATAGTCGGGCTATATATAATATGGTAACACCTTCACATAATACAACATAGTTGTAAGTTTGATAAAAACAACTTTAAAACAACATTGGAGTTACTATGGCAAAAAGCCAAAGTTAACCAACTACCGCCCCTATCGCTAAGAATAGATTTATAACATTTCGAATTCACAAAATTAACCTTAACTTCGCCACTAAAATGAACATCAAGCACCAATCCCAACCTAAACCTATGCTCATAGACCCAGCCTGAAAAATCAACAACACCAAATCTGTGTTATGGTATGGCTAACCCAATACTTCTAACAGTGGCGTAGCCAGGAATTTGTCATGGGAGGGGTTCAAATATTTTCCATATGTATAAAATTATATATAAATAAATAAATAAATAAATAAATATATATATATATATATATATATATATATATATATATATATATATATATATATATATATATATATATATATATAGGGGTGTGAGTCCATTGGCGGGGTTGTAACCTTCCCCCCCCCACCCCAATCCCCTCTTGCCTACGCCACTGACTTCTAAATACAATAATAAAAAATAGTTACTTACCCAGCGCTGAGCCAAAGAAAAACACGTGAAGGACTTGCATTTTAAAATTGTTTACTAAAAATAGATTCTAATATAACAAAATATATTAATTTCTCTTATTTCTTTTAATTCGCTGCTTAAGTTATCACAGCGAACTACAAATTTAATTTTTTTTTATCAGTTCAAATTCAAATTAGAATTGTCTGCAATGTAAGCTCTCTGTTTTTCTACTGCTGTTGACTAGTTCACTCTCAATCCTATGCCGTAGACAGTTACACCTTGGGTAAAGTTTTTATTTTTTTATTTTTTGTTTACTAAGCTCTTGTTAATGTTGGTACAGGGTTTGACCGCCCGCGGCAAACTGTAGGTAAAAAAATGTTCTAAAGTTAGATTTTTAAAAAATATATCTATGTAAAATTGAATGTTCAAAGAAAAAAATCATCGTCTTTAGCTGAAAATATTGTTAACTAACAGATTATATGAAATAATCCACACATGGGGTATGATTTTGAATGACACCGTTTGATTGTATTAATAGTTTAAATTCCACAATAAGATTTTTTAAATTTTTATTTATCTAGCTTAAGTTACATTAAAAAAAAAGAAAATCTATTTGGCTAAAAACAAGTACACATGAGTTATGGTTTAAACGACACCGTATGAAAGTAGTTTAAATTCTACAATTAGTTTTGTATTTATATAGCTTAAGTTATATTTAAAAAAAAAATCTTTAGCTGAATTTATTGTTATCGAACAGATTATGTAATAATTTTTATTCGAGGCATTGTTTTGAATGACACAAGATAATAGTTATTTAAATTAAACAACGAATATGGTAACATTCACATGAAGAAAAAATATTTTTGGATAATAAAGTATAATAAACGTATTTTTATTATAAAGTATTTGAAAAGTAACAAAAGGACGTGAAGTTTCATTTTTATAGTTTTAATTTTAAATAACAGCTACAAGTAATAAACTAGCTAAAAGTTAGACAATAGATAGCATATTTTGTACATGATGTATACATTAGAATTAAGCAATGTAGTAATTATTAATTTAAAACACAACACCTAACAACATTACACAATGTAAATTTGTTAAATTTTAAAACAAAACACCTACCAACGTTACACAATGTAAAGTTGTTAAATTAAAACAAAAAACCTACCAGCATTACGCAATGTAAAGTTGTTAGATTAAAACATTAAAACAAAACACCTACCTGACACCACCTAGCGGTGAACACCTTCTGCTGATTCAGTTTTCTCCCCTGCTTTATATACCTCAGAGGTCCTGCCATGGTGCAGACATTTCCGACAAACGTTTTATCTTGTTGTGCGTGTGTGTGTGTGTGTGTGTGGGGGGGGGTCCTTACCCCACCTTCAGTTTCTTCGTCCCCACCGCGTCCTTCCTCTCTTACGTAATACTTTTGTGCCGGTTTGATACATCAAACATATATATATATATATATATATATATATATATATATATATATATATATATATATATAGCCTATATATATATATAGCCTATATATATATATATATAATTATATATATATATATATATATATATATATATATATATATATATATATATATATATATATATATATATATATATATATATACTGTTAAATCGTATGTTGTTCTTGGTTAACTTGGGCTTTTCGCCACAGTAACACCAGTGTTGTTTTAAAGTTGTTTCTATAGCACTTACCATGAAAAACTATATAATGTGGTTCAGATATGTTACACAAATAATTAATAATCAATTGATTTATCGTAACTTATTTTTTTTGTATATGAACTTTAATAATCGTCATTCTTTTACGAAATGTTTCTGCCATTTCGTTGTGAAACAAATCATTTTAGTATTGTGCAGCCTTGAATTAACATTATCATGGGCTGTATTGTTCTCTCCATATGACTTAACATTATTTAGCTATTGTATGCCTGACATAGGGGAGGGGGAGCATCAATCCATCTTGTCCCGATAATAATGAGGCGCACGTACAGTTATGCCCACATACACACGAAAAGAAGCGCACAAACACCAGCCGCACACAACACAACACACTCATCATCCACATTCACTTACATCCAGTTATTCCCTTCTACACACGCCCACACACGTACATATATATGTATATAGGGGGACATAATATATATATATATATTTTTTCATATATATATATATATATATATATATATATATATATATATATATATATATATTTATATATATATATATATATATATATATATAGATATATATAGATATATATATATATGCAGTTATAAGTATATACATACATACATACATACATACATACATATGTATATATATATATATATAATATATATATATATATATATATATATATATATATATATATATATATATATATATATATAAATTTTTTTCATATATATATATATATATATATATTTATATATATGCAGTTATAAGTATATACATACATATATATATATATATATATATATATATATATATATATATATATATATATATATATATATATATATATATATATATATATATATATACATATATATATATATATATATATATATATATATATATATATATATATATATATATATATATATATTCGTATGTGTGTGTGTGTGTGTGTGTGTGTGTGTAAATCCTATGGTGCAAATTAATTTTGCATTAGTAAATCATTTAAATAGTTTAAAACAGTATTTTTATTCTTCACTATTCTAATCCACTAAAGTTCAGTTCAAATCTCCCCTGTGAAGTTCAGGTGCCACTAGTATAACCAGCAAGTAACCCACTGACCTTCAGCCTAGTTTACCTTGTTAAAAAATGAATGTAACACCAAATCCATTGAGATAGCTAGGCTTCTTCTCTCCCCTTGGATTTATACCTCATGAATCCAGACAAGGCCTGCTATAAATTTAGTCTTTTGTCTGACATAAATCGTGGTCTAGAGCTTTGGTTTGTTCTTTAACAAAATTATACTAACAGTTGAGGCCATTCAGGTATATTGAGTACAGTGAAATTCTGAACTAGATTCAATGTGAAATAGATTAGAATAAATAGTTAACAATCATGAGCTAGATTTAAGTTATTGTTGATTAGAGTAAAAACGAAATTATACTAACAGTTTAGACCATTCATGTTTATTGAGTACAGAGAAAACTTGTATGGAATTCTGAGCTAGGTTTAAACTATTAAAGAGTAGAATAAAAAGTATAAAATAACTAGCTTGATTTGATGTAATATAGAGCCGAAATAAAACGTATAACATCACTAGCTAAATTTAATGTGATAAAGAGTAGAAATAAAACATAAAATCTCTATATTAATTTAGTGTGATATAGAGTAGAATAAAACATAAAATCTCTATCTAAATTTAATGTGATATAGAGTAAAAATAAAACGTATACAATCACTAGCCAAATTTAATGTGATATACAGTGGAATACAACGTACACAGTCATGATGTTGATGTTTTTTAATAAATAGAAGAATAAAACGTATACAATTAGCTAAATATTATGTTATATAAAGTGGTATGCAAGGTATACAATAATGAGCTAGATTTAGTGTACAGTTGAGTAGACTAAAAACGTGTCTAAAATCATGAGCTAGATTTATTATACAATTTGTTTTTTAATAACAGCAAACATCAAAACAGTATTAATTTAAAAATACATTTAGGAAATTTAATAAAGACACTGGATTTTATTTTGCGGCCCATCGGGATTTTTTTCAGGTAGACCAATCCACCTTTGAATAGAATGACTATATTCGCACGGGAAATAGCTAATGGGCCCGACTCAGGGCCGGCGCTACCTATAAGGCGAACTAGGCTGTCGCTTAGGGCGCCATCCCTAGAGGGACGCAAAATGTTTCATCGCTATTATCAAAAGGTACCTAATAGTTAATAACTTTTATAAAGGAATAGCGATCTATTTCGGCACCCAGGACGAACTGTCAATTTTGCACCCCCACCGAAAAATTAGGTCTTTATAGGCCTATATTTATTCGCGATGGTGAAAATGCAACCCCACCTCCCTAATTTGGAAAGGTCGTGGCGCTTTTTACAAGTCACTTTGCCTTTTTAATTTGGTGTCACATAATTGATTAAATAAGTTTGTAATTTAAATTTTGAACATTTCAAACGGTTATCTAATTTTAATAGGTCTTGTAAGTCTCGTTTTATCTGACTTTGAATTAGAAATCAGTCCTGGTGTATAGTTTTGTAATGACGGGATGTTTAAAATATTGTACTTGTTTGGTAAGATTTGTTAACCGTTTAGATTTGGGAGTAACGGCGGAAGGCTGTTGCTGATATGGTTTCGTAGGTATAAAGTATCGAAGTGTTAAGGTGTCATAATTTTTATTCGGCTTTTTTTGTAGTTGAAGGTCTAGTGCAGGGGTCTCCAAACTACGGCCCGCGGGCCGGATGCGGCCCGCGAGGTCCTCTCGTCCGGCCCGCGGAGATCTTTTTGTCTACGGAAAAAACGTTTGTTGGTGATGTCTGAGGAACTTTGCTCAGAAAAATCACGACATGTCTGGAAGAAACTGGCCCCCGAACTGAAATTTGATAGTTAATGCGGCCCTCGGACTGAAAAGTTTGGAGACCCCTGGTCTAGTGGATCGGATTGGTAATAGAGAAGTGAGAATGCAGGCGATGAAGTATCGTAGTTCTGTAGTTCGGGAGTATTGATTATTGTGGTATTAAGGTATCGAATTATATTGACTGTTAAAGTGTAGTAGCAGTTCCAGTGAAATCGTTGTTGATTGTGAGTACTGTTTGTAGAGCTTGGTGAAGTTAAACAAGTTGGTGTCGTAGTTCTGGAGCATCGAGTCTAGTTATGTATAAGTATCGAAGTTTGATATGTGTTGTGTATGTAGTAGAGTATATCGAGTAGTCGAGTTTATCGTAAGTTAGATGATTTCAATTCAGTACGGAACACACTACAAAGAAAGGTAGGCGTTCCATAGTTGAAAAATCTTTAGTTTTTTAGGAATCTATATAGGTATAAGGTATTATATAATATTAAATGGGGTAGAATGTATAAACTTTGTTTTACCAAATAAACTTTGTTTTACCAAATAATAATTTTTTTTAATTAAACAATAATTCTAGCAATGTCTAACACAGGGGTCGGCAACCTTTTGGGACGGAAGAGCCAAAAGTTATAATTTACCAAATAACCCAGTTTTTAAAGAGCCACTAACACTTTTATTTCAATATTATGATACTTGATTAGGATTATATATATATATATATATATATATATATATATATATATATATATATATATATATATATATATATATATATGTTTAAATATGAAATAATATTTATTCAAATCAAAACATACACATGTTTCGTAGAAATAAGTATTAAAGTATTTTACCTAGAATAATAAAATCAGTGATCAAAGTAGATCTATATAACTTTCATTATTGAATACTATTTACACCAGTTTCGCCTTGCATGCCTTTTGAAAGTTTGTTTAAACGTGGCTCATAACTTTTTTTCAGTTTCAATCAAGATTCTAGATTTGTATTTGTTAGTTGGCTTCTATACTTGGTATTATATTCATGCAAGAAAACGCTTGCTCGCATGAATATGTTGACCCGAAGATCTTCAGCACTCCAAATGCCAACTTCTTCGCCCTACTATAGCATCCTGCAAGACTATTCCAGGCGTCCAGAGTTTCTTTCAGGAATCTCTTCGAGAATTTTGTACCGTCCCCCCCCCCTCCCCCGAACGAAATGAAATGTATATAATTTATATAGAAAATATATACTTTTAACAGTGTCTGCCCGTCCGAAGAAAGTCTAGCGCCCGCCCTCCCCCCCCCCCCCCCCCCGAAAATTTCAAGTGCCCCCCCCCCCCCCCGAGAAAAAAGTCTGGAAGAAACACTGCATGCGTCACATAGTAGGGCCCCAACTCGCGCCATTTCTTTTAGATCTGTCCAGTTGTACAGTGAAACGTGCATGTTTTACTGGACCTCCAAATCATCTAACTTGCTCTTGAGGTCTGTGAGCTTACCGCTCCACAAATGTTTAGTTTTCAAATCTAACAATTTAATTTGAAGCGAACCAGCATCAATACCAAATAGCTCAAAGTTAATCTTATTTGCATTTGTTTTGAATTTGCTCAAATCTCTCAGTCAACATATCCTTCATTTTGTTTATTATAGCAATGCTGAAGTGATTCATATTAACAGTAGCGTTGGTTTTATCATGATATATTTTTTTTAGATTTTTCGAAATAATGTAATTTACCGCTCTCCGTGTCTTCA